GGACTGATTTTGAGTTCCATACCTGATCTCTAGAGCAGCTACCAGTGCTCGATAGTTGTGCCTGTCGTCTGCTGTCAACTGTCCAAGTATTTCCAGTGGTTGTTCTTTCAGGCTCGTTGCCAGGTACACTGCTTTCTGCTCCTCTGTCCATCCATTCATTTCTGACAGGAGCTCCCACTGTACTCTATATGCTTCTCATGGTGCCTTCCCATAGAATTCCTGAGGCTTTATTGATATTAGATTACCCCTATAATTGACACTCATGTCTGGAATGTGACTTCTGGCAGGACTGAAGATGTCTGCATTAGGGTTTAGCTGCGGGGTCTGGAAGGGGATTCCGTTGTCTGGGGCTGATTAGGTCTATGGTTAATTTATCCTCCCTGTGTAAAAGACAGTGAATCGTCCTTTAATATATTTAATTCACTTTGAAATTTACTAATCTCTTCCATTTATGTATGCTGGCTTTCTATCAACTGCTGGAGACTTTCTTCTTGTTTATTTTCTCTCTCCTCCAACCACTGCTGTAGTCTCTCTTGTTCAATTTCTTTCACCTCCAACCACTGCTGTATTCTCTCTTTTTGTTTATTTTCTCGTTCTTTTGTTTCCTTTCTTTTTCTTCCAAAAACTGCTGTAATCTTTGTTCTTGTTTCTTTTCTCGTTCTTCTTGTTTCTTTTCTTTTTCCTCCAACAACTGCAGTAATCTCTTTTGTTTATTTTGTTCTTCGAGCTGCCACTGTTGCAGGTTTTATTGACACTGCTGTTGTCTCTTTTCTTGTTTCTTTTCTAGTTCTTCTTGTTTCTTTTCTACTTCTTTTTGTTTCTTTTCTTTTTCCTCCATCAACTGCTGTAATCTCTCTTTTTGTTTCTTTTCTTGTTTGTTAATTTTCAGTATAAATTCTTCCCGAGGAACTTCAGCGATACAAGTCCCTTCTTGATTAAAACTAGCTTATTCTTTCCTCGATACAACTTTGTAATACACAAAATTTCCAGAGTTACTTTAAACTTAACAACCTTTATAACACACGCTATAAATTACAGTGATTCCACACTTTATTTACTGTGCCTACTGTTTGCTTGATTCAATTAGCTATCTCTTCGCCCACCAGTCTGCGGACTTACAATGCTAGAATCCGGCTTTCGATACCCGAGCAAGGCAGAGTACAGATAGCCCATTGTGTAGCTTTGTGCTTAATTACAAACAAACAAATCTATCTATTCAGTCTATCTATATCTATTCTGATCCCGCTGCTTTTTCTCGCCAGGCTTATATGCTAAAAAAGAGAGCGTCTAGCAAACATTCGGACATTGACGGGGTTCCTCGATAATTCATGATCCTTCGAGAAACTCCAGCGCGCATGCTCCCAGCGTCGCGTGAGTTCCGTTATCGTAACAGTATATAGGTTAATGCATCTGTTTTTGTTAAACGTCTATAGATTAATATATCTGTTTTTGTTAAACGTCTATAGATTAATGTATCTGTTTTTGTTAAACGTCTATAGCTGGATGTATCTGTTTTTGTTAAACGTATATAGATGAATGTATCTGTTTTTGTTAAACGTCTAGTAGTAAATATATCTGTTTTTGTTAAAGGTATATAAGTGAATGTATCTGTTTTTGTTAAACTTATATAAGTGAATGTATCAGTTTTTGTTAAACGTCTATAGATTGATGTATCTGTTTTTGTTAAACGTGTATAGATGGTTGTATCTGTTTTTGTTAAACGTCTATAGATTGATGTATCTGTTTTTGTTAAACATCTGTAGATGGATATATCTGTTTTTGTTAAACGTATATAAATGAATGTATCTGTTTTTGTTAAACGTCTATAGATTGATGTATCTGTTTTTGTTAAACGTATATAGGTGAATGTATCTGTTTTTGTTAAATGTATGTAGGTGAATGTATCTGTCTTTGTTAAACGTCTGTAGATTGATGTATCGCTTTTCGTTAAACGTCTATAGATTGATGTATCTGTTTTTGTTAAACGTATATAGGTGGTTGTATCTGTTTTTGTTAAACGTCTATAGATTGATGTATCTGTTTTTGTTAAACGTCTATAGATGGTT